CATACTGCTTCCCTGATGGCTCCGACAAGACTGTTGACATCCTCGTGGATTCATCTTCTTATTACAGACACATGCATTTCCAAACATTTGGACTACCTACGCTGTAAATGTATTATCTCTTTGATTTCCACACGTCATCTATTGCACGTCTGTCCGTCCTGGGAGAGGGATCCCTCCTCTGTTGCTCTCCCTGAGGTTTCTCCATGTTCCCCTTTAAACTGTGGGGTTTCTCTGGAAGTGTTTCCTTGTACGATGTGAGGGTCTAAGGACAGAGGGTCTAAGGACAGAGGGTCTGAGGACAGAGGGTCTAAGGACAGAGGGTCTAAGGACAGAGGGTGTCGTATTGTCATACTGATATTCTGTACAAACTGTGAAGTCCACTGAGACAAATGTAACATGTTGTGATATTGGGCTATATAAATAAACATTGATTGATTGATCAGTCAAGTGGTGCTCACTGCAGAGCCATAATCTCTAGCTCCGCCTCTCTGAAGCTCTAGCTCCCCTCTCTCTCTGGAGCTCTAGTGACGCTGGCAAAATGGCGGACTTTACAGGAAATGTCGTTGCCGTAGCAACCACAAACAACTAGTTTAAAGACATCTTAATGCTAGAGTCTATTTAAATAGATTTGAGTTATTAACAAATGGAAATCACTTGGTTTTGATGCATTGGCATGAAGATACCAGCCAACAGTTTTTACAAATAAAATGACGTTATGACCAAACTGCTGAAGGGCTCTCCTTTTTGGTGATGAACTATGGGTCTTGAACAAATATGGGTCTTGGGCCCTGCTGAGCATCAACCCAACCCATCAACTCTCAGAACACATAACATTCATAGGAAAATATAATTGAATACATGAATAATATATTTCAGCATATGGCACGGGTGAGAGTGGGGTAAAGGATATATCCTCACGGTCGTGATTCGGCCGTAGGGCGAGTGCTGCAGTACTATGACACTATAATGACGGACTGATAGCAATACAAAGTGAGGTGACTATATGCTGCAGAAGGTGACAGAATGATGAGTCCACATGCATTGTTTATATGTAGGGAGGTTTATTACGGGGGGGGAGACACTTATTGAACTGACTGTCCAGCCAGCTGAAGTGGGCCTCCTCTTGAAAGGACTGCTGGCTCACAGTGTCACTGATTTGTCTGCAGGTCAGGGCGAGCGTGCAGATGGCAGGATCCCCGTCCTCAAGCGCAACGAGGATGAGGATCCTGCGTATCATGTCCTCAGGTAGCTCTACATACAGAACATGACTCAATATGAAGTCCTTTCCAGCTCAACACTGTTGTTGGTCTCTATTACCATCTAAACTCAAAACCTTTCATTACTGAGTGGATGGTTGTAGTATGTTGAGCATCTGCCGGGCTGTTCATTCGCTGGTTAGATCGGTGTGCTCTTCCTCCTGTGTCCTCGCTCTTCCCGTGACTTTTGACCCCCTTCATACACCGGTGCAGCTAACCCCCGCCACCAAGTGTTCTAAATAATATTGCATTATAAATATAAATAAAGTAAACTGACATGCCAACAACTTCCATGACATGGCTCCTAGGTGGTATCCAAGTTCATTAAAAGCATGAGAGCACAAACTTTTCACTTTCCTTACTAACCCGGCCTTGCCTCTAACATTTGGTCAGAGGTTTAAAACGGAGAAAGGATCTCCGGATCTGAGAGAAGCTTTAATAATGAATTAAATATAAAGATAGATGATCTGTTCTCTGATGATCATGGACGGACACTGAAGCACGAGTCAAAAAACATCTTTAATGTTCAGTATTAAAATAAAGCTGCATTTCCCTTTAAAGTGAGAAAACCTTTAAAGCTTTGCTTTGAGTCGCACCATATACTGTACATTATAAATATCCTTTATATCACAATTTACAAAAATATTCTTCATAAAGATGCAAACAGCCACAACAAAATAAAAATAAAAGCTTAATTTCCAATTGTCAAAAAAAGTGCAAAAATAGAATTTACTGGAAACATTTTGGAGGAAATTTCAGAGCATTTTCGTAAAAATTATTATTAAAATAAAAAGGTAAAAACTAATTATAAACACATTTAAAATAGTCTCATGAAGCAGCTTATTACAGTTTGAACAGGACGATAATTAAGGCTTTTCAGATCAGCTGTTAATGAGAACGGGTTGCCAGGTTTGATTTGGTGTTTCAGAGTTTTGTCACATGTTTAAAAATAATTGAGAATTCAACCACAAATTGCTCATCTGTGTGTGAATGAAACACATGCTATTAATGTTGGCAGGGGAAGAAACACTTTAATCTTTATCAATCTGTAATATGTCTTTAAATCAGAAAGTTCAACTACAATCCAAGAAATGCAGGAACATGATCGCACTATAAACAGGACGATGAGACGGATGCACAAAAGTGGAGGCAATTTAAAATTAAAATAAAAACATGTTCATTACCAAATGGTAGAGACTGGGCCAAAGCTTTAAACAATAAGGAAAGACTGGAAGCAGCTCTGCAAAGAAAACAGAGCAGTTTGCACATCCTCCCAACCTGGCAACCCACAGGACGCCTTTCATTCCTGTCGGAAAATATAGAAAAATGTCCCTGTTTGTTCTGCAGGACTGGACTGGAGACCCTCCACTGGACCTCTGGACCAATCACAGGGTCTCTGAGTCCACAGACTGTCCTCGTCCTCCTCAGGTCTCTGAAGGGGGCGGGGCTTCCTGTCGATGGATCAGAGGCGTCCCGTTGGTGCTGCTCAGTATGGGGTCTGCAGTAGGAGGCTTATAGTTCTACAGACAGAGGAGACAGCGGGGGTTAACACAACAACAACAACAACAACAGGATGAGGTGTACCACAGGAGCAGGGTGTCATACAGATACGAGTGGAGATTATAATGAATACTGTATACACATTCAAAGCACATTTATTTGTAAGCATTGTACTGAAGTGTTATCGGCTGTACGATATTAAACGGGTTGAATAACAACGGGTTTTAATGATGACACGTTCTGGCAAATAAAAACGTATCCGAGATACCTAAATGTAACGTGAAGTGCGTGCCTGAGTGAAGAGCCAATTAAAAGCCAGATTAATATAATGTTTATTCTCCGTTAGCATCGAGCAGAAATAGTCCTTAACCCGAGCGTGTGCTTCAGGTACGGGTTAATATCAACCGGGCAGCAACGTGGGCTAGATCTAAAATAATGCATCAGTAAAAACCCAAATACACGCAGAATTATAATAACATCATGTGTTTAAATACGAAGTCAAGGAAACAATATTGTACTTAAATGCAAATGTGACATATTTGTACTACAGTATTTTCTTCTCATGCCACTTTAAATACTGGATTCACACTTTACCTCGTTGTATTTAAACTTGTATAATGTACATCAAGGGGGTCCAAACTGTTCTCACTGAGGGCCACACACAGAGAAACATCTGAAGGGCCGGACCCCCACTAGAGGGGAGGTTTATCGCCTCATAATTCAGCAAACCAATCAAATGTAGCTCAATGAGTCTTGAAAGCTTTGAGAAACATCCCAGCTCTCCGGAGGGACTGCTTTCTCCTGTTGCAGCTCATCCCTTACACAGACCCTCAGGTTGATTATCATGAGAGGAAATATGAAGGTTTATTTAAAGCTGGTTATGTGAATAAGTTATTGAGCTTTTTTTTAAATCAACTAAGATTTGTTAGAAAGTGTTTTAATTGACTGAATGTATTTAAAAAGTGGACTCATTGACACATGAACACTGCGGAGTCATATCTGTTTACATACAAGAGAAGAGAAGCACAGGCTTCAGGCGTGAGCTGAGGGACATTTAGAAACGGGCTGGAGTTTGAGGACCCCAATTTTAATTATTATTTTTTAATTTGTATTTCTAGCCTTCTGGAGGTATTCAAAAATAAAACACATGAAAAAAACCAAGAGTTATAAAATATATTTGGTTATACATTTAGCAAAAACAGTTTGGACCGGTGTATGTATGTGTATACACCCGGTGCAGCGAACCCCCGCCACCTAGTGTTCTAAATAGTATTGCATTATAAATAAAGTACACTGACATGGAAATGGCTCCTGCAGGTGGCAATCAAGCTCTTCAAAAGCATGAGAGCGAGACGCTAATATATATATAATATAGAGTAAATATATAATGTAGTATGAGCGGTGTTGATTGAGTACTTGTACTGAAGTAAAGGACCTGAAAACACCTTAAAGACTCATTCAAATCAGAGGCCAGGAAGTGAGGAACACACACTACCAAAATAAAATGCAAATAAAAACACAGAAGGACAACAAAGCACACGGAGCGGACGCACAGCAGCAGGTTCAAACATTTATTCATCAAACTTTAAACAATCTTTGTACAAAAATAAACCCAAATTAAAAAATTAAATGTTTTGAAAAAGCAAACCTAAAAAGTGAAAAACAAACAGCTGATCGGATGGAAGTCTGGACACATAAAAATAAAGACTGAATATAAAGTCATCACTTTAAAATGCGCGCCTGTCCCTTTAAGAGTGCACAACGTCTCCGTTCAAATGTAACCCAAAAAAACCATGGGGATAACACACAGCACACTTCCTGCTATAACAGGCTGCATGTGTGTGTGTGTGTGTGTGTGTGTGTGTGTGTGTGTGTGTGTGTGTGTGTGTGTGATAAAGCACAACTTACACACATACCAGAGTAACAAGTCAGAGGAAATGTGGCGAGGATCATGACCCGGTGTAACCACACACACATCTGGACTGCTTTAAGGCACACACACACACACACACACACACACACACACACACACACACACACACACACACACACACACACACACACACACACACACACACACACAGCAGGGGACTTTCACACAGGAACGACTCCGATTTAAAACCTCACGGAGACTTTCACATCCTGTCATTCTCATGCAAACATAAATGTGTCTGATCTCCGAGAGCGGATTGGACGAGTGTCACTTTATGCTTTAACATATATTACATTGTATTGTGTTTCTGTGTTGGTCCCTGAAGGCAGCATCAAGTAGTCCAATGGGATAACCCCCCCCCATGCACCTGGATGAGTGCTTTAAACAGCTCTCTGATCAAATGTGCACCTATTCTTTAACCTTTGTCTCACTTTAACACAATCGTGATTTAAAGTTTTGAGAGTGTTTAAAGGAAACCCCTATTCTTTATACACGGCATTGTTTATTTATATTTCTTGTGCTTTTTGATTTGTTTAGAGTTTTTATATTTGTTAATGTTTTCACCGTTTTACTGAGTGTTTGGTGAGCAGGAGCGCACGGCCACAGACAATGCATCGCACATTAAGCGTGAGGAAACTGGAGACACACTGAGCAAGGTTTAGATTTGGCACGAATAAAAAACAACATTTCACGACATAATTAATTTTTTTTTTGTGCAAACGTTTAAAACGTCACATGCACTTCCCAGACACGAACCGCATGCAACACATTTGAAAGTAAAAACATTAAAAGCCACAAATGGTAAAAAGGTTTGCAGAGTCTCCGTCTTCTCTCTGCAGAAAGGTCACAGGAAGTCCTCCTTACAGCCCGTTCTAGTTTCAGGTCATAAACGACTGTGAGACAGGAAGTGAGCGTTTGTTCGCACAGCATCCCATCGGCCGCAAACCTGCTCGCTAACGTCTCACGTTTCAAAAGTGAAGCGCGGATTCGTTTAGCCTCTTTATTTTTTCATCTGATTTTCACATACATTTTTTTTGAGTGAAAAGTAAATGGGAAAATAACGATGAGCTCCATTGAAATGCATCCATTACTTTGTCAGGGTGTGGAAACCGGTTTTATTGTGAAATATTCAACTATGCTTTAAGGCAGGGGTGGGGAACCTCCGGCCCCGGCCGTACTACGGCCCGCGAGACATTTGATACGGCCTTCGACGAAGGCCGTATCAAATGTCTCGCGGGCCGTAGTACGGCCGGGGCCGGAGGTTCCCCACCCCTGCCTTAAAGCATAGTTGAATATTTCACAATAAAACCNAAAACAGGCACTTGCTTGTTTAATTCTTTTGCGGTGTAGATTTCTTTAAAAAAAAAATGTGCATGTGTTTATAAATTGCCTCGAAGGCCGTATCAAATGTCTCGCGGGCCGTATACGGCCCTGGGGCNAGCAGAACATCGGAGCTCTGAAGATCACAGCGGAGAAAAGCAAGAAAAGCAGCCCCTCCACAGCTTCACTAGAACAGCTGGTGCACGGGGACCTCTGCAGTGCAATAACACACATCTTATATGAGCTCCAGAGCTGAGAAACGGGCTTCTACCAAAGCTCACTGTGTGTGTGTGTGTGTGTGTGTGTGTGTGTGTGTGTGTGTGTGTGTGTGTGTGTGTGTGTGTGTGTGTGTGTGTGTGTGTGTGTGTGTGAAATACAGCCTCTTAACCACAAACTAAGAGCCGCAGTCACAGCATCTACTGAAGTGATGCACCACTTTTCAGACGCCAAGTACACGTGTTATACGTATATGTGTATTTCTCGATACTGAGTAGTATTACTAAAGAGTACTTCCTCATACCAGTACAGTTCAAACATTGACGAGTTTCAATGTTCCTCTACTTTCTGACTGTAACACATAATGATGCTGTTTCTGACATTTGAGCATTCAGCTTTGTGTTTTCTTTGTACTGCCGACATCAAATATAAGCAGTTACACATTCAGTGGATTTCAGTGCCAGTAGGTATGGTGTTCTTTTGTCGGTGAAGCTTTTTTGGAAAATTAGAGGAAGTAATTAAAGGTGGGGTAGGTAAGTTTGAGAAGCCGGCTCGAGATACACTTTTTGTTATATTCCATGGAATGCTCTTAACATCCCGATAGCAATGAATATCTGAAGTGCTTTGACAACAAATCCATAAAAAAATGTCATCTGTGGAAGCTGTGGCGCTGTAAAAAGCACGACCAATCATCTGAGCCGGTCCGGCTAAAGTAACTGGATGGCCTACCTGCCTGTCAGCCTTCCATCTGTGCACAAACTTATCTCGTGCCCTCATTGGTCATGTGCTTGTTCGTGTGTGTTGGAGGAGGGGCTCTGTAAGGAAGTGGCAGATTTGTTCCGGCCGTGTATTCTCAAATTCTTGCGCACTCGACCTGGTTTCTCCAAAATTACCCACCTTTAAAGGAAGTTTCTCTGCATTACCAGCCGTGAGCTTGTTTCTGTTTTCATCTACAAAATGGGAGCAAAACATCCTCTCACGGTCCGCAATACTGAATGATGCTGAAAGGTATCAGCATTACGTTTGTGCCGATGTGGAAAATCACCATTTGTTAACTCCCCAGTGACAGAAGTAAACAAAGGAGTCCATTGGAGGCTTTTCAGTGAGGGTGGGGGTG